GCCGCCGTGGCCGCCTCTGGCAACCACGACGGCAGCGGTGGCGACTCGGGATCCAAGATGGGCTCAGCCATGGCTTCGGCGACGGAGTTGTTAGCTTCGCACTGCGTTGAATTAGCGGAACTCTCGGGCTCCACTCATGATCGCGTCATCTCCGCCGTCCGATCCGCCGTCGACGTTCATGGACCGGGGGATCTCTTGACTCTCACCGCCGCAGCCGCGACAGGTACAAGGCATTTTCTATTCTCAGTTCTTATTTTCGTTTTATCAACAAATGTTTCCTTAATTTTCTCCAGTCATTCAGCTCTAATGTGTACCATTTTTTTAATGGGTGAGATCGTTGTTTGATGCTCATTATATGTCACGGGAAGAAAACCAAATTCTATTTGGCGGATGACTTTTGATCGCTATAATTTTAGATTCTCTACCGTATGTACTATCGGAATCTAGAAATATAGAGGCTAAGATCAATGAGACGAAAACTGAAACTAATAAAAAGAATCAGACATAAAATGGCTCCCATGCAGATTGTGCTGATCAATTTCGTTTGTGTTGTTAGATAAAATAGGGTTGTGGGAATTACTTAGTATCCTGCAGGGGAATTATAATTCATGGGTTTCAAAGATTTTGTTCTTCCATATGCTTTTCAGCTCTGAGAGGAGAAGCAGCTCTGAGGGCGAGGTTACCGAAAGAAGCGAAAAACAATGCAGCTATCAGCCCTTGCGATAGGGCTTTACCAGAGATTCACGATTGTTCTTCTGAGCTGGATCTCTCCCTCAGAACCGAAGAACAGATTCCTGCACCTAAAGTTGATGAATCAAACTCTGCTCACAGTGGGGAGTTAATGCTTTGCACACAAACTGGTAATCTCTTTGGAGAGGATAAATATTGTTTAGCTGTTTCTTTTCCCGCATTGCTGTGAGTCATCTGAGTCTATTTCGAGAAAGAGCATATTAGGCTTTTGTATGTAAATAAAGAAGAAGTTGTATGGATGATCTCGGGATTGATGAATGGTTCTGGATCTTGCAGGAGTTCTACGGATGAAACATGTATCAGTTTACATCAACAAGAAATCTCAGGTTACACATCTAAATTCTTATGGAAGTTAACACAACGGTCTGCTTTTTGAATCGCCGAACTGAACCTTTGTCAGGTTTTGTTTTGCAGGTCATAGTTGAAATAAGAAGCAAACATGTTGGAGGGGCCTTCTCCACGAAAAGCAAAGGTATACATTATCATTTCTTTACACGGTCATGGTTCTTCATCCATATGTGGGCTCTGTCATGAATGATGTAAAACCTCAAAGAGGAACCAGAACCTGATAAAGTTGGGGGTTAAACTGACAGGCATTGTTAATGGAGTCTGCGACACGGTTTCTGCTTTGCCGACCAGAAAAGACAAGGAAAACTCAGAAGAAGAGCTCTATTTTGGGATGAATACAGCAAAGGGTCTGATAAAGTTCAAGTGCAAGAGTAAGGCCGATAAGCAGAGATGGGTGGACGAAGTTCGGGATCTTCTTTGTCGTGTAAACCCCCTCGAGGTTATGGAAACTTCTCTGGAAACCCTAAGCGTTGGTGACGATGACACATAGGATGTGTGCTATGTTAAGTTGTTGAGCATGTTTGTTTATCTATGTATATGTTACGTGGGAATTATCACACTGGAGAATACTGTTTAATGCATAATATATAAATGTAAGTACTTGTATATTTGTATGTCAAGGTTGAAATTTTTGTGAGTTATGCAAGTATGAAATGAAGGTTTTGGGTTCAGGTTCTCAATTCTTTTGCGCTTACGTATATAAATATACATCATAAGACTTTTAAATGAACGAGTTATTTGGAGCCAGGTTTCAGGGTATAAGCACTCCGCGCCTGTAAGTTATCGAGATCTGAGTCATCTGACATCGTGGATAATCCGACCGGTGAGAAGGCTTGTAGTCTACCGACTGTCGTCTCCAGTGAATCGTCTTCTCCAACGGCATTGCCAGCGAGTTTCTTTCTCCATTTATAATTTTGAATCTCCGGAAAACTGAGAACACGTTATGTGTGGTTAGATCCTTTGTTCGTTGTTGATGGAACATCAAATAAGCTAAAGAGCTGAATTAAGTATTGATGAGAAGAAAACCTGCATTTGTGGGATGAAAACGCAACTTGAGCTTTCTAAAGTGTTGGATTTTTCTCTGTGGCTCAGATACTTCATTAGAGCGGTGATGGCGGATCGGTGTTGTTTGGCTTGCCGGTTACATGATGTTCTGCAACAAGCATGTCGCCCGCTTGAGGTTTCACTCTCCGGATAGGCATAGGTGCGCCTCCTTTCTTTCTCCTTTTTCTTTTCAATCTGATCAAATAGAAGATATCACACAGCTTTGGAACATCTTAAGGCTAGTCTTAGGCTAAACTATTGCATAGTAGAAATCATAGTTCGTATCATTGGTCTAGTTTCTCTGTGGGGTTTGATCAGACCTCTCAGAATCGCATGATGATAGAAACTGCAGAAAAAAAAAATGTAACTGAATCAGTAATTTCTTTCTGAAGGGAAAAAGAAATTCGAACAAGAGTAGACATAGTAATTTCAGAAACATTATGAACTTTATTGCATACATTCGTCATGAGGAAGTAACTCTCGGACCAACAAGAATTACTTTTGTGCTTGATCCTCCACCTTGAGTTCCTACATTGGAGCTCGTCCAACCCCTTTAGACCCTTCATCTTCGACATCCTTACTCTCATGGTAGCGAGGAGGAGCTACTTCAACCAGCCACTTAGGTTCGAACTCCGTTATCTGGTGCATATATTCCTTGGTTGTGAGAACTAGTTCATGACATACGACCCACCTCGGTGCCACCTCTAATAGCCCTGAACTAGGATGTATGGACACTGTGTGGGAATTTTCCACTCTTCTATATGTTCCATCGTTCTCTAACTTGGCAGAATGCGAGAAGAATCCCGCAAGGATCGCCTTTCTTATTGCATCTAAATCGTTTGGGTTGGAGCTAAGTTCTATTCCGACCCTCCTAAGAAGTCCCTCCAGCTGTTTGCATATGTCTCTAGCTCTTTTCATGCTCTGGACCTGAATGTAGTTATCGTAGCACCACTGAGTGCTGTAATTTGTCTCCTTCCAAGAACTATATATCCTTAGCAAGGCAATGTGGTCACCGACATTCCCAGTGTGGAAACTCATCCTTGCATTGTCGGCCTGGACTTGCTTGTGCTTAGGCCGATGAAAGATGGAATCCCCAAGGGACAGCATCGCTGCTATTGAGGTAATCTCTTCTGAGCACTTGTATTTGTCTGAAGCAACAATCATTTTCGATAGCATTGGATCGACAGGAAATTCTACCATCCTTTGGCCGACCTCAGTCATCTCACCATCTTCATCCAAAGCACCCAGAGCATACAGCAACTCTAGTGCCTTAAACAGAGCTTGGTGAGGTGGAGGATCCATGAAATCAAAATCGAAAAGATCTTGAATTCCAAGGCTTTTCAAAGCAAGTACGACACCAGCAAGATCTGCCCTTTGTATTTCCGGCACTGTGTTGTCCTTCAGGTCATTGTAGTCGTACAATCGGAAACATTTTCCTGGACATGTCCTTCCAGACTGATCAGCCCGTAGATTTGCTAAAACTTTGGAGATAGGAGTCAAAAGCAGTGACTCTACACCAGTGGTTGGGTTGTATGAATTAAGCTTGCAATATCCTGGATCAACGACATGCTTGATCCCGTCTACGGTTTCTGATGTTTCTGCTATATCCGTTGCCAGGACAATTTTCCGTGATCCTTTAGGAGTTGGTTCAAATGCTTTTGCCTGGACATCAGTTGGAAGGTTCGAGTCTAGCGGGCATATAATCAGTTCCAAGATCTTTGTACTCAAACCTTCTATCCTCTTCTTCAGAATTTGTTCTGCGGTTTCGATATCTTCTTGATCCGTGAGGAAAACCAGAATATCTCCAAGTGGCTCAGTGGCACAGATCTGAAGCACTTTGGATATAGCTGATTCCAAGTAATCAGGTCCTGGCATTCTGTGGTAGAGCATCTGAACAGGATATTTATGCCCCGGCATCTTGAAAACAGGGGCGGAACCAAAATAATCAGAGAATTTCTCTGCTTGCAGGGTCACAGTCGAAATTATCAACCTAAGATCTGGTCGAGAACGTACCAAATCCTTGAGGAGTCCGAGCAGAATGTCGGTAGATATACTTCTTTCGTGCGCTTCATCCACCATAATGACGGTGTAGCTGCCGAGATCTGGCTCAACGAGTAGCTCCCGCAGCAGCACTCCATCAGTCATGTACTTGAGAAGCGTCTTTTCCGAAGTGCAATCCTTGAATCTGATGGAGTAACCGACCTCATGTCCGAGTGTGACACCGAGCTCTCGAGCAACACTGGCAGCAATGCTCATGGCCGCAACTCTACGAGGCTTTGTACAGCCGATCTTCTTTCCACGACTTGTGTAGCCGGCTTTGTGAAGGTACTGTGGTATCTGTTTGGTTTCCCCTTCAATGACGAGAACCCGATGATGTTCAACTGCCTTGATCAGTTCATCTTCCATCCCATCAGTCAGCTCCTCCTCCGATTTCTTGAAATATTCTTCTCTTAGTGCCTTCATATCTGGAGAACATGATGCAGCGTTGTCTCTACCATTCCACCTGTCTTCGTGTTGAGAAACCCATCTCTCAACTTCCCTATCATCCTCTTCCGACGGCCCACTTCTCTTGCCCTTTTCATCATGCCTTCCAGATTCGGAAATTCTCTCGCCGGCTGTCGGTCGGGGAACTCTGGCATATAGCTCTTCCGCGAATTCTCTAGTCTCATTCGACGAAGAAAACCCGTATTTCGCCAACTGATGAAGGATCTCAGCTGGCGATTTTGATCTTTCGGCAGTTTGAATGAGAGAGTTGGTAAAGATAGGTTGGGGAAAACCTAGTAGGCTTATCATCTTCTCCGAAATCCATGCCTTCAAATCATTCCTGTCCATTGTCAAAGAAGAACAGAAATCTCTGCTTAGGGAAAATAGTTGAAAAATGCCGACCCTACGATATGTTTTGATCAAACACTCTGGAAACTGGATTTTGTGGGTGAGACAATGCTCATTACATCAGAACCTCTTTATATAGGATAAAAGAAACATCTTGGGAAGAACGTGCTCTGCAAGGAAAATATAAATGATAATCGGTTGCTTGAGGCGCAAGTTTCATATGAACTGTATGCTGAAAAGTATCATGCTTTAAAATGTGTGGAAATATAGGCGATGTCTAAATAGGCAACGATTATTCTGTGTATGTATTTATACCTCAACGTCCATTTTGACGGCTTTGAAGTTTTTTTTCTCTTCTAAATAAATATCTAATAAAACCGAGCCGGGCCTTGTTTGGGCTTGAGACCCATTAGATTCATTTGAAAGGGAAACGAAACAGCAGAAGAGAAGGGACCTGACGAATCTCACCGGAGCGGAGAGAGGTCCAGATCCCTTCTCTACGAAGCTTGATTTCCCTTCTCCGGCGAACGCTTATTCTTGTGTCGGATGATAATGCCAGTGAGTTTCTCTCTCGCCATGTCGGATTCTGGATCTCTAAAATCTTGTTGCTTTTCTCTCTCCTCCTCCGTTGAGTTCGCCGTTGTTTTTGTTCATTTCTCTGATTCAGAGTTTTTTCCGGCGATTTTGCAGCTCGTCACGGTGGTGGAAGTGGAGCCGCCGAGTCCGTGGCGGTATTTGATCGGAGCGGTGGTGATGATGATCGGCGTCGTGTTGCCCGTCGGCTACATGATGTTTCGTAACCAGCGCGGTCCCCTCTCCTCTTCTTACTCTAAACAGACGTAGGTGTGCTTTTTCATTTTCTCCTCTCTTTTTATTTTTCCTTTTTCTCGTCTGATTCAGGATCTTGGATCACGCTAGGGTTTGTCTCAGGCGGCTACCACTACGCTAGATGACCCATTTCCAGAAAACTGAAAAATAGATCTAAGGATAGAAATTTGTCTGTGATTGTAGTGTCACAATTTTCCGAAAACTGAGCGTAGTGTCTTACTGGTCCTTTAGATTCCCGGGATAAGATTCTAGAACATGAAGGGAGTATAAAAGGGTGAAAAGTAATTCTGGAGCTAACACTGATCATTCCTTCTCAGGAACAAAGTTTTGATATAGAAAGAGGTTTCAGTTGGGAAGAAGATGATAGATGAATGTGAACCGGGGGATCTCCTTCAGATTCACGAAACCACATGTGAATACTTTTTCTTAGTTCTCTCGTTCTTTTCCGCTTCGATTATATATTATGACCGAATACATGTTGTTTAACATGTACAAAGATCGACTGCGTGTTGTTTTGCATTTTGTTAGAACTGCATGTTGTTTAACTCATACAGCGGTATACTGTGTGTTGTTTTTTCTTACGCTTGAAAAGCGTGTTGTTCGACTGATTCCATCGGAGACTACTTGCTATTTTTTTAGCTGGAAATGTATGTCGTTTCGCTCGCTCAGATGTCGACTGCGTGTTGATAATGACCGAATACATGTTGTTTAACATGTACAAAGATCGACTGCGTGTTGTTTTGCATTTTGTTAGAACTGCATGTTGTTTAACTCATACAGCGGTATACTGTGTGTTGTTTTTTCTTACGCTTGAAAAGCGTGTTGTTCGACTGATTCCATCGGAGACTACTTGCTATTTTTTTAGCTGGAAATGTATGTCGTTTCGCTCGCTCAGATGTCGACTGCGTGTTGATAATGACCGAATACATGTTGTTTAACATGTACAAAGATCGACTGCGTGTTGTTTTGCATTTTGTTAGAACTGCATGTTGTTTAACTCATACAGCGGTATACTGTGTGTTGTTTTTTCTTACGCCTGAAAAGCGTGTTGTTCGACTGATTCCATCGGAGACTACTTGCTATTTTTTTAGCTGGAAATGTATGTCGTTTCGCTCGCTCAGATGTCGACTGTGCGATGTTTTATTGTTTTCGGAGTGCATGCTGTTTAGCTCACGAAGTAGCTGACTACTTGCTGTCTTTAAAGTATGTCATAAACTCCATCTCTCATGGGCCCAACGTCCACGCTCATGACTCGCGCGTATTGTACACGCTACCATTTTCTGTGGACAAAAATAATCCACTGATTTCGATGAAAATGTTCCTCTATTGAAATTTGGGCGCGTGAGGGAGGACTTCACATTTTTTCCAGAGACATTTACGTTTTCTTTTTCAAATTCATTCATTTTCCGCATTTTCATCGCCATATTTTTTCTTTCCTCGCATATTCCATTGTTCTCAACTTTTTTACTATAATTTTTCATCTCTGTAAAATAAATACTTGCCTCAGAGAAAATTGAGTTTTCGTTTTTTATATTTTAGTTCGTTTCAAAAAAAGCCGAACTATAAAAGGAATAAAAATTCTATTAAAATCAATTTCTTAAAACGGTAACCGGATTATGCATATAGTACTGAAATTAAATTCTTAACACTGTGGACTCGGTTTTTAGTACTCGACTACATGTTGTTTAATGTGTAAAGAGATAGACTGTATGTCGTTTTGCATATGCTGGAAACGCGTGTTGTTTAACTCATACAGAGGTCCACTGTGTGTCGTTTCTACTACTTTGGAAAATCATGCTGTTCAACCGATTCCAGTGTAGACTAGGGAAATGTATGTCGTTTTACTTGTAGATGTATTGTTTTCGAAAAAGCACCCAAGCGCATGACCCACGCGTATTCGACACGCTCCCATTTTCCGCGGGTTATAGTCCAGGTATTTCAGCGTAATTTAGCTATTTACAAAATTCGGCGCGTGGGTGCCTTTACAATATTTTTCAAAATCATTAACGTTTCTCTGGCCAATTTTTTTCACTTTTCCACCTTGTCTTCGCCATACTATTTTTTTCGTCGTATATTCCATTGTTCTTAAATTTTCCTGAAATTTTTATCATTACTATGAAATAAATATTGGCTCACGGTCCAAATCAAGTACTGACATTTCAAATTTTATTTTCTTTAATAAAAATCCGGATATCTAACATTTCGTCTGGAAACTCCATCGATTTTTTTTGGGATAAAATCTATCGAAAAGTTATGATCGACATTTGTTCTAGAGTACAAATATTTTTACTACAAAGTTACGATCGAACATAGTTTCAACGTCTTTAATTTGTATTCATAGTCTATATGTTTAGGGATAAAACAACTTTTAATTTTAAATTTGGAATATATATATATATATATATATATATCAATTTGTAAAAAAAAATATACATTTTGCAAATCCTAACACTGTCTATCCACATCACCATCATGTATTTTTTTTCTACATATTTTGGTTTAAATTAATAAAAAACTACAACAAATTTTGAATATATATATATATACACACATATGCATACTATTATATATGTATAATGGTATGTATATATATAATAGAACTGGGTATTTAAACCCATTATCCGCGGATATCCGGTCTCACGAGTACTCGAAAAATGAGTATTCGACTCTGAATGAAGATGAAAATGAGGCAGTAAGATGAAGACGAAAACGGGTACAAATTTCATTTTCTCAAGACGAGTATCCACGGATACCCGTAAAATATAAAATAACCAAAATAACCCTATATTTTCTTAAATTATTTATTTAAATATTAGATTTTAACTTTTAAAAATTAACATATATATTTAAAAAACTTCTATAAATCTATATATATTCAAAAATTTATAATTTTCTATATTTTAAACATATTTTGAATTAAATATGTTTTTACTAAATATTTGGTTTAAATTAATTTTAAAATGTTTATTTTACAGCTACGGGTGTGTGCGGTTACTCATCTCTTAATCACGGGTATCCGATCGATGGATACCCGGTGTTAATGAAATAGAGAATGAGATAGGGGTGGGCACGGGTCGGGTACCCCCAATTTTTAGAAAACCCCGTCTCGTCTTCATCATTACGGGTTTTACAAAAACATTATCTCATTCTTGGCTTCATAAAATCCGGGTACTTGTAGCTCGGAATGAGATTCTCGATCTTGTACTCGCGGGTACCCGGATCTATACGACTTATAAAATTTTGAACTATGAAATGATAGATATACAAAGTACAAATGAGATATGTCAAAGTATAAAGAGAAAAAAAGTTTACGAAAAAGAGAGATGAGTAAAATTTTGAGAGAAAAATAATGGTTGATTCGGTTGCATAGAATAAGATTTGGAATATTAGAATTTTTGTATAGAAAGGTTTAGAAGATAAAAAATGAACTAAAATAAAAGTATTTTAATAAATAATAAGAATAATTTAGACAAAAATATTATAAATATAAAGTATATTTTAGATTTTTAACAAATATATCGGGTACCCCGGGTACCCCTTGTAAAATAATTGAACCCCCACTCGGACTCGCGGGTCAAAAATTTGACTTTATTAATACTCGATCTCGTTATCGTTAATATTCGGGTATCCTTTATTCGGGTACTTGTTAAGCCGGGTACCTCTAAACCCCGGGTTACGGGTTAAAACGCCCACCCCTAGAATGAGACATCCACAAAAACAAAGACGAATATCTCTAAAATCACATATATCTAACCCTAATGTCTAAGCATGTGCAAATATATGTATATATATGTACATATATGTCTGTGTACGTATATTTGTGAACGTGTGTATGAATTACATTGGTGATGTGATTTTTTAATATTATACTGAACCAAATCAAATATAATAACAAATTGATACGTATATTTCAAACTTGAGCAGAGAAAGGAAGAATTGATACTAGAATGTCAAAAACAAACACAATGTCAAAAAAAGTCGGTTCATGGAAAGACAACATTGGCATATAAAAGAAAAGGAGAAGAATGTCAAGAGCCTCAACGGTAACGGCGGAGGGAGAGGGAATTGTTTCGCTTCCAGGTAGCCCTGCGAGAAGGGCGGTTCTTGTGGTAGAGATGTCCCTTTCCACGGAGACCTCTGTTCTTCTTCCCCTCCGATGTAAGACCACGGAGCTCACGGTGTTTGTGAACAGGGTTGCATATCCAGTTCATCCTCGGGTCATTCCTCACCGCCTTGTGAGCCACATCCACCAATATAACCTCGTAGTACTTGTAAGTCGAATCCTCGTTGATCCAGTAGGAATTGAGGACTCTAAGACCACCCAACTTCCGGCCAGCACGCTCCTCAGCAACTGACCTCTTGCTCCTCTGGAACTTCAGTTGGGTTACACCCTGGTTCGTGGGCTTACCATACACTATACCCTTTGGCACTGGCCTCTTCCTTCCACCTCTTTTGACACGAATCCGGTACACCACAAACCCCTAAGAAGTAAAAACATATAAAGTTATAACACGCAAAAAAAGAAACATAAGTTATGCCAGTCGGAATAAGAGCTAGATTCAGACAGAGAGAGAATCTAGCCAAGTCAAATGATCATTCTGGCTAGTTCATGTAGCTGGTCATGGGAAGCATTCGATCATGAACACACTTCCTGTGAAGAAGATGTGTTTCAAGAAACCACATAACCAGCGGGGATGACTACATCTGTAATTTCCACATATTGGTCTCAATAAAACAATGCAAAATCACATTTCATAACAATAAACGAAGAGCATACGTAGAATGCAAAGCAAGGCTAAAGATAAATCTCAATTTCTATGAGGATCAATTGTCACGCTTCATACCATAAACAGTACACCTCTTCAATATACCCAATTAAAACCTCAGAACAATGACAAATCAATTCAAACCCAGTAACGATACGTTCATATGCTGAGGCTGACGGAATCACCATAGGGTTCATGAGAAATTTTCATGAGTACTCAAATTCAATTACTTATTCAACGAAATATCAGTATCCATCGGATTCCACGAGATACGGTAACAAATTGAAAGGAGCAGGACATTAATACTAACCTGCTTGGCCTTGTAGCCCAGGCGACGAGCCTTGTCAGGACGCGTAGGTCTGGTGACACGGACAATGGAGGGCTGCTGTCGGTACTCCCAGCACCTCACCCGCTGCAGAAACCTCATAACATCGGACTGCTTCTTCCTCCATAGCTCCGACACGTACTTGTACGCCCCTAGATTTCATCAAAACCACCAGTTTCTCAAAACGATCAGCAAAGAGAAAAACATTAGACAATCCCAACAACATATACGAAACGCAGAAACCGTATAGAGTTTCAAGGAAATCTGGACAGGAAAAAAGAAAAAGACGCCAATTACCCATTTCGCGAAGTTCCAAAGAGCAGCCGGAACTAGGGTTTTCCTTCGAGTGGGGGGCTAGGGTTTCTGGGTTATAAAGGAGACAAGAGTTAGAGCTGTGAAATCACAAGCCCCGACGAGATCGTTGTATGGTTGGGCCGAGGCCCATTTAAATAGTATATGCCAAATTGCATAGTCTGGGCCTAAACCTTTTTCCGGTTTGCCAAACCTATTAGGATGCGTTGATATTTTAGATTTTGTTATATTAATATTTTCTATTAATTTAGAAATTATAGACTCAAAACTAAAGTGAATCATACGTAACGTATGTAGGATAGGGGGGAAAATATAAGGAAACGCTTGCTCCGTTGGAAGATCTTAAGAGAGGGAGACAACAATATACGACAGAATTTCGAGATGGGTAATAGAAATTTAACTTCTCCCTTGGGATTATCATTATAGAAAAATAAATATAAATGCATAAACGGGCGATAAAGCATGATGAGAGGAGAGAGAGGAATGGAACAGAGTATAACATATACTTTTTTACAGAGATGGAAGTATTGGGGGATGATGATGATGATTCATGGAACATGGTCGGATTTACAAGGGGTTGTACCTCGAAGGCCTCCTCTTGAAATGCCTATCCTCGTCCTCATCCTCCCCATCACTCGCCGCCTCAGGAGTAACCTTGGGGGGCTTCTCCCCATATGGGAAGCTTATGCGCGAGAACACACTGTTTTTCTGCTTCTTCCCGCCTGCTGTTGTGGTCTCCGCCGACGATCGATGATGACGGTCACGGTCACGAGATTTTTCACGTTCATGCTCACGAGGACGTTTGTGATCACGAGACTTGGTTCGTTCCGGTTCGCGCTGGTGGTCAGAATCATAGTGATGGTGCCGGTGTTCAGACTTCCTCTTGGAAGGTGGTTTTGGTGAACGTTCAGCCGATGATCTCTCCGTCCCATGCTGGTGGTGGTGGTGGTCTCCACTTGATGAACGCTGAGCCCTTTTCTACACACCCCCCATAAGAAAACACATCAAACAAAGCGGTCATACCTATCATCTGCAGCTTTAGTAAAACATGGACACTTACGGTTACGGATTTGGATCTCATGGACGACGGGCCCTCAGAATTGACACACGCCTCCCTCGGATGTCCTCCATCTCTTGAAAGTCCCCTGACGTATTCAACATCAGAAACAACCCCCACCTCAGCAAAGCTTCACGAGAGCTCGGTGGTAACCCATACATATAATAAGGTTTAGGCCCTAACTCCACCACAAAATCTAACATAAGAGTGGAGGTTTGACTCTCCTTATATCTTGGCCTCAAATCCCTCTCTTTCTCCGATGTGGGACACTTATCAACAATTCAACATACTGTCAGAGGATTACCCACCTGGTTTCTCAATATAGATTATGTAAATCTAGAGGACTATCCCTACAAAACCGCCCTTTTACCATATAAATGTTGGATTTCCAGCTGTCAAATGTGGCCAGTGAAATTTTTAAAAAAAAGTACTCCATGGGTATCAAATCATACACCTAATGCTTTAGACGCAGTCAATCCCGGTTTCGAAGATCCACAGAAAAAACCTCTTCCACATCAATCGCGTAAACAATCAAGTTGAAGTTGTTATCACTTGGTGTGGCCTAAAAGGACTTTTTCCACCCAAGGCCTTTCGACATCACGACACACAGGCCTTCCTAATGCTTTAGACGCAGTCAATCCCAGTTTCGAAGATCCACAGAAAAAACCTCTTCCACATCAATCGCATAAACAATCAAGTTGAAGTTGTTATCACTTGGTGTGGCCTAAAAGGACTTTTTCCACCCAAGGCCTTTCGACATCACGACACACAGGATGGTAGAAACGTTATAACACTAACCTCTCACCCCGTCTCTCCATCTCACGCTTTCTCCTCAAATTAGCCTTCCGGGCTTCAAATTCCTCTCGGCTCATGACCGGAGGTGGCATATTCATCATACCCCTTCCCAACTCAGCAAGATCCCTGAAAAATATAGAGAACCGTCACCAATGATTAGATTTTTGCAGACAGAAAGTTGCACCACTATGAGCATTTGATACTGACAGTACCTATGAGGTGGAATAGGAGGAAACATGAGACCAGGTGGACCAAAGGGGCCTGGAGCAGGAGGAATGACACCTCCAAAAGGCATGTCCAAGGGGCCAGGTCCATAACCCATGTACGGCATCAGACCAGGATAAGGACCCATGAAAACATCCGCACCAGGTTGCCCACTGGCCCACAAGGGGTTGAAGGCATAGGGTGCCATGGGCATCATGTGGTCAGCTGAAAGATCTTGGAGACCACTCCATTGCAAGCCTATGATCGAGAAAAAACATTAGCAAACATTCAAGACCTGGTTGGATCTACATATCACTTTTGTACGAGCCAGAATGTACCCGAAGATCTAAGAGCAAGGTTTGACATACCAGGAGTGGCTGCACGAACCTTCTTTTTCTTCTTTTTCTTTCCTGTCAATGGAGAAAACGTGATAAAGAAGCAATTAATATCTCCCATATATCATAATTTCATAAAGTGATGATGAAAGTTTTTTATATGCCACCTTATTCAAGATGAATATCATAAAAGCACGAAGTGATAAAGCTCACCTTGTTCATCAGGATTTAGCTTCTGTTGTACTTCTTCCTCAGCGACCGGTGCACTGCCCCTCGATGTTGCCTCCCGTACACTCAATGACTCTGCTTGAGATGCATCCAGTTTCTTTGCAGATTTAGCTTCGTCGTTCGTAGACTCAGGTGCATTTGTAGGCTTTGTCTGTTTCTCTGCTGCTTCAATTTTTGTTTCCTCAACCCCAGTAGAAACACGGTCTCGTTCTTTTGATGCAGCAGAAGTGCATGGAGATGGAAACTTAGGAGGTGGATTACGTGCAGACTCCATATCTGATTATTATCAGAATATAAGTTATTTAACTACGAGTATCATTTCATTTGTGCTCCATATAACAAGCATGACCAACCAATATATTTCCTATAAACATGTACAGGAACACATATGAGGAGCTCGCATCAACAAACCTTGAACTTGAAAAGCGCTTCTGGCGTTATCGGCACTGTCAGTCCCAGACTCCAGTATACGATTTATTGTATCCCGAAGAGTCTTATTTGGCAGAAGATCATCAGCAAGAACATCTGTGGCCCCACATACACACATCGACTTCGAAATGATATAGTTCCTGATGCCTGGATTCCAGCAAGCAGGTTATGCACATTACAACAGATGGAAAGGAACTAATTTATTTCAACATTTACCCTAAAGCTCTTAATCATAAAACTCTGACAGGGGAGTAAATTATTCTAAGAGCACTTACACGTATCACAGAAACTCTTGAAACAGCATTTGCTGGTCAACACCGCATCTTTCATTACTTCCTTGCATAATGGACAGTGAAGCTCGGGAGGGAGTTCTCCAATGGATCGGGTGGATGGTAAGCCCTCGATTGCCTTCTCAAACGCATCCCTATGTGAAAAAACAAGAAATAATAATTTGACCCTCTCCTTTTGCTCTTAATCTAAATGAAAGAATGAAATCCAAGTGTCAGTCATGAATCATTCTCCTTACTCATTTGGCTTCAAAACAGCAACAGCTCCGCTCGGCAATGCATAGGAACCATCTGGGGTTGCCATCAGCATAGACTTTGGGATCCCAGTTGGCGGCGGCTTCACTCTTTTGATATCATAATTAGGATCACCATTTGTAGGGCAGTGCTGAATAAAATGTCCTGCGCCATGAAAGCTTTTGGGTGAGAATACAAACATGTAACAGTTCAGCCCAAGTGACCCCTCATTTCAAAGCAGAAGTAAAGAAAACTGTACCAGCATAAGGACACTCACCTGGGATTCTGCAGCGGTGGCAAACATATCCTGGCGGAGGGGTCTTACGCTCCAATGCCACCCGACCTTCAAGCAGTAAACAGAGATGTTTAGTATAAAGTTACACCACAATAAAATCATCTTAATAAAAACCTTCAAAAGGAAAATCCAAAAGCGAGAGATGTGAAATGGCAAAGATCATGTTCTCAAAGAACCAAAACGGATAAAGCAATTGCAATATAGAAAAACGGAAAAAAGAATAACCAAGACCATGCCCACCCATCCTTCCAGCCAAACCCCTCCCAAAACCTCTGCCAGCACCAACACCATCAGGCCCTTTTCTGCGGATGAGAAAACAGATCTCAGAAATTTTTTCCAAAGAAAAGAAAATAACACCATTAAACTTGGGATTAAGGCGATGTTGTTGTGAAAAAAAATAACACCATCAGAATATCGAGAATAAAAAACAGGTAAGCCATCTAACCGCTTCCAGTCCAAAGCTGGAGTGTCAATTAAAGCCCTAATCTTGCTTTCCTCATCGTCATTAGTTGCTGCAGGAGCATCTTGAATAAGATTACTAGATTGAGCTGGAAGTGCTTCAGGAATCGAGTAAAGATCAGTCCCAAATTCATCCCATTCCACATCCTCAGGCTGTATTATATGCATAAATCTTATCAATAAGTCCAGTTGCAACAAGTCATGCAACAACAACCAAATCCAGATGAAAATAGGCCAACATGAGCATACGTTCATGGCAGATGAATCACTAGGGTAGTCATGCTTTATAGGCTGAGTATCTTCAGGTTCGTTATCGGTTCTTGATCTGCAAAGTAACCAAGAGCTCAACCCATCCACCATTTTCACATTAAAAGAGGGCTCAGTCAGGTAGGAAACAAAATCAGGCATGACACATGGGAAATAAGAGAACGTAATGTGAGCTACAAAGATGGCGTTTTACGATTTCAGGAAATGCTGAAGAAACTAGACTACATGGCTGAGAGTCTAAGGTTTGAGATAATACTTTTGCTCAGTAACAATGGGCAAACGGGGACGTCCAGGAACCCGACGAATTAGGACAGAGGTATTTTTTGGGATTAACTTGGCTTCATCAAGATACTCTGAAATCACAAAGAACATAAGACAAGTTTTGTAAAGCAGCGCCCGTGCATATCAATCTACGAAGTGCAAAGTCAGTCATCATGTCACAAAGTAAAATGTGCCAAAATGAAAAACACATATTTCCCTATCTACGAAGTACAAAGTCAGTCATCACCTAATTGACTGATCGATTTAAACATAATCCTTACTCAAATACACACAAAAGCACCATTGAGATACTAATTCCTTCTTTCCAAGCGTACAAAGCAAACATTTTAGACAATATTGAAGCAGAAATCATAGGGCAGAAAAGAACCATTATTTAGTGTAGTACCAGAATTTCAAAGAAGCAACCCAATACCAGCATAATAGGAAACATGATTAGCCAAAAATTGAGCAGTTTAAACCAGAATGCTAATGAGAACCACAAACAAAGTAGATTAAATTGGCCGAATCTACAGGACAGCAAAACCAACCTTCATTAGTTTGGGCATTAGTAACCACAAGGTCGAAGTCTTTACCACTGCCCAAATGCTTTGATTCAAAGATTTTGTCTTTGAGAATGCCAACAGATATAAAAGGACCGTCCATTGGAATAGAATCATAGTCCCTTGCACTCTTAAATTTGTAATAAACAGCCATTTTTTTTTCAACTTATAGAGTGTATGTAGTATGTATATATTATAATCAAACGATAATACTTTGAGGGAGAAAGAGAACAGCCTGGTATTCAACTCAAAAACGAAACGAAGTACAAAAGCAAAAAAAGCTATCTTTGATTTTCCCTCTTCCTTTCTTTCCCTTTTCTAAATTCACTACTCCAATCAGTAAACAAAACCTCTCAGGGGCTCGTTCCTCTGCTTATCTCTGCGCAGCAAGACTTCCAAATGGATTCTGAAGCAATCCTTCACTGCCAAAAAAGATGCGGAGAGATTCGAACAGACATCGCCAACACAAATTCTTCACAATCGACAGGATCCCGACGGATTCAGATCAAATCCAAACAGATAGCCTCTGCAAGTGAAATCCCTCGAGACGTCACTGGATCTCCGATTCGATCCGCAGCAACCTCCGATTGTCAAATCCAATAACAAAAAACCTTCAAACAACTAAAATTTTCAGAGACAGTAAACCAGCCGACGAAATTTGTCACAACAATCGAGATGGGAATCGTATGATGGATCCTCCTCAGTCGCACCAGAAAGACATCCGAGAAAATTCAAGATGATAAATTAGCGCGGAAGCCGAAGCTGGCATCAGAATCGAGGGTTAGGGTTTCCCAGAGAACCGAAGAAAGGACAAAGAAATATCTCTCGAGGATAATACAGAAAAGCGGTGGGATGATGGAAAGAGCAGGGACTAATCTAATCTCCACTCCATGACGCAAGATTTTTGTCTCAAGCGCGCGTGAGTCACGCGCCTCAGTTTGCTAGGCTCAGCCCAGAATAGTCACGGCCTTATTGGGCTTATGGGCCCATTCGATGTGTTCCATATGATTCTTCGTTCCATTTGGTCCAACCGTCTGAATCAGATCCAAGATTCTGATTCCAAATAAACAAATGAGAGGAAAAGGAGGATAAACAATACCCATTACCTCACTGGGCTTTGGGATATGCCCAAAAAAAAAGTTAGTAGTGGGCCAATGGTGCTAACATATAACATGGGCTTTGAGCAAGTTTTGTATTCATCGATCCATTTTTTCTATAACCCCCTTTACTTTCTCCTAAGATCTATTTTTCCTGTTCACGGTTTTTGTGTGTGTATATATATATAATAACATCCCACTCGAAAATGTATGGTGAGAGAAATAAAACAATGCGATTGAAATTATATGTTAAAAAAAACATGTATAGGCGATTAAACTGGGGAAAAACAACCTATCACAATTAGGGTTATCTTTGTAAAACAAGAAGTCGTTGCCCATTACACCTTTTTTTTTTTTTTTTAAACCGCGGGACCAGTAACGAACAAAATAGCATAGAGATCGTTGTCATGACGTATTATTATTGTCTCTGTTTACATGGCAATGACATAAATTTGGGTGACAGCAACTGATTACGAGTAGACGATATATATATACACACACAATCCCAACCCATCAAGTCTACATATCATCGGATGCCTTCAAAGTCAACATGTACACTTAATCAGGCCTCACTTTATTGCTTTGTACAAACGTTGTCTTAAATCGGTGTCCCTAAATTCCATTAATGACCTTAATGTTTAATTCATTCACTCTTTTTTTTTTCAAACACAAAAAAAAAGAGGTTATTTCAGTGAGACGGGAATAATTACATCGAACTATTCAGAGTTCCGTACAATTTTGGACAGCTCTCGGGGTTTTCACTTCAACATGTCTACCCGTACTTGTCTGACACGTTGCTCCTCTCATCGGTTCAACTGTAGCCTCTCCTTCCCTTTAGGCCACATGCTATTTTTCATAAACATACTCACTATTTATTTATACGTAAATTCTATTTCATTTTTTTATAATTTAGAAATTCACCGTATCTTTGATCCGATTACGTCTTCCACATAAATAGAGAAACCTATGTGAATGTCCTTCCCTAAGTAAAGACTCGAATCCGGATTGGAAAAAAAAATTGTTTCATTCTTTACCTGTTGAATCACCCAATCTTGGATATATGAATTTTTATATATATAGTATCATATTTGTTTTTGTTTTTTTTCATAACAAGTGTTTTAAATCAATTCTACACTAATTTTGGAGGTGAAAACCGTTACATGATTTGAAATATACATTCACAAATTTGATATTCGAATTCATGATGGTATAGACATTTTGTACCCTATTTCACACGAAAAGATGGATAATATCATGTTTGGTTAGGTTACATCTTTGGTAGAACATGAAGTACCACTATAGTTTATAAAATTTCATAAAAAATATAAGATTGCGCATACATCGAATTCTCTCAAAAATGTAAAATTAAAGATACATAGTTATAAAATTAGGTATACAAAACAAGTACTATTGGTATATTGGGGATCGTTTTGTGTAATTTCCAGCAAGAAAATCATTCAACACTTAATCATGGAATTTCACTATTAAATTTTTTTAAAAAAGGTGGGAGATTTGAGGATTTGTGGTCGTGGCATGGTAGCTGGTTCAACTTAATATAGGTCTTTCTTTTTTTTTTAATGTCAAAAAGAGTACACGTAATAATGGCGAAGTCATTGATTGATTTAATCATAATTTCTGACATTTCTTCCTTCTCTTTTTAATGAATTAGTGTTGATAGGATAAGGTGCAATACGGCAACGTTGGATTAAAAAAAATGTTTAATATTATAATATACTATAATGCGTCATGTATTATATATATTATAGCAAATTCATTAGCATCATAGGAGTTGGTAGATTCGGTTAAGATAAGAATATCAACTAGTAATGCTATATGTAATAATGTGTATTAATCAATCATTAATTAATGCGTAAAAAAGTTGAAAGGGTGCTTGGAAACTATGAGACAAAACGAAAAGAACACTTGAATAATAATCTTTTTTTTTTAATCCTAAGTGAATTGTATTTATTTTAATTTGGGTTGGTGTGTCATGGACGATGACAATCACATCAAACACTCAAGACAGTCCATTATAAAGTTTATGTATTTTATGCATATATATATATATATATATATATATATATTATTTTATGTGGAAGCCAATGAGGACAATATTAAAAGCGTCACATCAAACATGGTCTCTCTCTGACGTGCAAATTTCTCCATCACTACTGTTTGTATATATATAAAAAATTAATTAAATATATTGGACACAATTATTTGATAGAATGAGCAAAACGCGTACACATGGAGGGATTTGTAAAACATCATTCTTCTGACAAAAATCAGAAGGCCAAAACTTTGAAACATAATATATATAATTAAGGAGAGAAAGAAAACCTAAATGCATATTCTATATCAAAGGAATGTAATCATCTTACATAAACTCAGATACATATGATTTTGAATATTAATTAAGGGTTATTATGAACATCGTAAGAAGAATTGATGCGAATTAGAATCATGGAGGACATGCTAGCTTAGATGAACATCGAATTAATCAGTCCTTTTTTTTATGTAACGAATTAATCAGTCTTGTTTTGAACAAACAAAAGAAATAAATAGATGTTCATGTGACATTGTCCTATTGTCTGATATGTCGTGTCAAATCCCTAACTAACAAAACCTGACAAACTTTTAGTGTTAAATTGGATTTCCCAGGTTGAAATCCCTCAATTTGAAAATTTTTGGGGGTTTAATAGATAAAATAAAAAATATAAGTTATTTTGTGAAAGACCTAAAACTGTTGTCATTCTTTTTAAATATGAAAAATCACGTTCATAGAAAAGAACCAATTAGTTAACTTAACGATACAATGGTGTCCAAGCGTTCATTAATTTTAAACAATCTAAATCCATAAATCAAAGATCCGAAAAAATATGCTAATAAAATTCTATTCTATTAAGTTAATACGTGAATCCAAAATTGGATAACTCAATTGATAATAGATGAAATAACTCTTTTTTCTAATTCGGATTCAAATCTCTATTTGGTGATGAGATTTTATCTGGATTTTTTCGATTTATATACAATGAATTTTCGGTTTATCAAAAAAAAAAATTGATATGCGAGATTTCATCCAATATTACAATTGTCATTTTAACTTAATTAGTGTACTCATTTAATATTTAATTTTCTTAATTTTATCAATATAAATTTTAATGTTCCATAAATTTATAAAATTTCAATTCTTTTAAATTCGTTAATTTTATAAGCTCAATCCTTGTTAATTTAATGTGTCTTCATTTTCTAAATGAAATTTAAACATTTATGATTAATACGATTTTTTATTTTGAAAATATAATCTGTTACTATTCAGATTAAAAATTTTATTTTTTAAGAATATTAGAAGAAAACGAAGAAAATAAAAACAGAAAGCGAGGATGTGGTTTGACTATGAACACGAGTGGACCTAAAGTCATAGGATTCTCCAACTTGATCTGATCTATGTATCATTATGCAGACTCAGATCACATTTTTAATTTTTAATTTTTAATTATATTGGTAATAGTCTTACACGTTACACCTCCATGTTTAAACAACACGTCGATATTTCTCTTCTCAATATAATTTGAATTTACACGTCATTCGCGCGATCATAGGGGGACTGTAATAATAATAATAATGATGATGATGATGATGACGATGATGATGATGTAAAAACTAAAAAGGATTATTACTTCCTTATTGAATAAATATAAATAATTATTTCGTGATAAACCATCATATTTATATTTTCTAAGGTAGATTTGTTTTTAGAAGTCCCCTATCCTCTTCAAAACAAAAAAAAAACGTAATTGGTTTTGAAAAACTAAACCAATATAGCCGACATGCACATTGGAGATTATTTTTATAGATTCATGATAATATCACAAGATGTCAGTTAATTGTCTAATCAATTATTTAAATAAAAATAAATGACGTCATCCATAAGAATTAATGGGGAATGAAGCATCAAACCTCAATCATATCGTCAAAACTGTTGTTATTATTTGACAATGATGTTGACTTGGCCCTATAATGTTCATGCATATATATATATACACACACATACATGTACGCATATATAATTTAATCCGGATCTAAAAAATATTGTAAATGGGGGCAAACTTGATTTTACTATATGAAACATAATTTTATGATGAGGCACCTAACAATTTTTTTTAAAAATTTATAAATTTTACAAAGAAATTACTTTTTTTAATCAAATAAATGAGGTTGATACCGATTTGTGTTTACTATTCACACCCGTTACAAAATAGAACGATAAATCAAACACACAGCCGACTAAGATATGAGTGATTTATTCTCATGTGTTTCTGCTACTACAGGACTTATGGACAGTCCTAACCAAAAAAAAAAAACAGTAAATTTTCCTATTAATAATGGGTCCTTCCTTTTTTTTCCCAAAACATTTTTCTTAAGGACCAATAAGATCGCAATAGGAAAAGGGCGAGTAAAAGAGAATAATTAAAAATTACAGAAAATACCATTAAGTTCGTCTCTTCTGCTATTTGCCCCTTTTTCCTCTTTCTTTGCCGTGGGCTTCTGGACTCTCTTAAATACACTCGGGATCCTAATCCCCGATTTGACCACTAATCCACAAAAGCAAATGCCATTATACAAATCATCACACGTAAAAATTGTCACCGAGTTTATTTAATGTGTGTGCATGTATTTACTTCCATCTTTATTGACGCGATTAATGTTTGCATGAAAGATAAAAATAAATTAATCAGTTTCCGTTTTGAGAAACAACAGTTTAGAAGGAAAAAAAAACCTTTTGATGAACTCACCTTTTTTCACACAGAAAAAAAATCAAATGATAAATATTTGGTGACTAAACTGTAATCGTCATATTGATTTATCATTTATTTTAAGACTTTTTTTTTGGATAATCGAATATCATGTACCGAGATTAAAACTAATTTGGAAGGTGAGAGCAAACTATATAATTAGAATTTATACTCTCTTCTCCAACTTCAGACTCGAATTCGGAACGGAACAAATGTTTTTGATTCCAATTTCACCGGTTGAGCTATCCAATTTGATTCATTTCAATATTTTATAAAATGAAGAGGGTAGAAAAGTGGAAAAAGAAACTAATGGACGAAAACCAAAGACACGAGGAAATTAAGGGGCAAAAAAATACAGTTTTGGGTTTTAACATTAACAGCACACCATGAGACTTTGTCACAGACGTGGTACGGTGGTAGCATTTGTACAAAAGCCTTCACTTACACATCACATATTGGAACTTTACGTTACGTACACATGTTTTTCCTACCCAAACGACACCGTTTCCCCTCTCGCCGGAAACTCGTCGGAATTCCTTCGCCGGCAATGTTGCATCCGCCTCTCCGTCTGAATTCAATTTTTCCGGCGACAGAAACGTGTGGCGGGCCGAACTGAACGCCTATCTACGTATGTCTAACAGCTGTCCAGGAAAAAGGGGTCTTCGTAAGTCAACGAGTCCCAGAAACCGTCGATCTTGTGGGTCACGTCGTCGAACAAAAGATCGGGGAGGTCGGTGAAGGCGTCGTCGGCGACGGCGGCCGACAAGGGGGATGACGTCACGGTGCTCGCCGGAGACTGTGGCGGCTCGGCCACCTCCGCCGCCGCGGCCGCCGCGGCCTGGATGTCTTTGGGGTGGGAGCTGGCCGGGCGAGGGAGGAGACAGGCGAGGTCCGGGAAGTTGAGGTGGGCCCCACCGCCTTTGATGGCCAGAGCGGCCGCGTCGTGAGCACGCGCCGCCATCTCCGGCGTGGAGAACGTCCCCAGCCATATTCTGGACTTCTTTCTGGGCTCTCTGATTTCCGACACCCATTTTCCCCATTGTCGCATCCTGACCCCTCGAAAACTTGGGTGCTTAGAAACACCCTTCCGAATCTCGTCTCTCGAATCTTTTGCATTGCTGGCTTCGTCTTTTTCTCGTTTTTTAACGTTGGGTTTCTTTCTTCTGTTCCTCGCAGACTCCATGGCCAGAGGAGACTGGTGTGTGTGCATACGGATTCTGCGACTGCGAAAGGGTATTGTATTAAATTCACAGAGAAAAAGTTTGGTGGCAAAAATAAAAGAGAAAGAAGAAAGAATCTAGGGTTTATGTTTGTTTGTTTGTCTGTTTGCGTGTGAGAGAAGAGAGAGTATAAAAACAGTGTTGGGGAGAAGAGGCCGTCGTTGTTGTCATATATACTTATAACTTAAACACTGTAATATTATTAATTATTAGAGGCCTTTTTTTTTCTCCCTACGGTGGACCCATCTAGTTCTGTTTTCATACGGTTATATAATCAGTGTCATATTTAATCCCACTTTTATAATGTTGTGTACATTTTTTTATTTCTAGTATAGATTAAAACCTTGGTATTTTTAGATGCATGATTCACCTAAACGGTGATTAAGGTAGATTCATATAATCAATTCAGATGGAAAACACGCACTTAGACATAATTATTAGATTCAAGTTTATGTACTGTGCTTTTATGAAGTTGCTGTAATACCTTTACTTTCTTTTCTCTTGGTGTAGCTATTTCGTTTTGAGCCCTTCCCCCTCCGACATACACTATTTTAGCACGTTTTACACGGCGCGCACACACACACATACATATATATACATAGGCACATTTCTCGATGCCAACATATCACGATATATTCATAATCCAGATATACAGATGAAAATTATACATGCAATTTAGTAAAAAAAACTGTCACATTTAATTATTTGTTTCGTAACAAAAAAAAACTTTTAAAGGGACATTCAGTTTGGAATCTAAATGGGCGTTGTTTTTAAATTCGAGAAGAGATTGAATAATTATAATCAATATGAGTTTATGAGTGTGTAATTAGGGACTGGAACATGAGTAATACATATGAAAGGTCAGAACTAAAAAGAAAAAAAAATCGTGTATAAACGGGAAGTTAATTAGGGTTTGGTCCTTCCTTGTACGGATCCATTGAAGGAGTTATATAGGTTCCAGATTTAATTGCGCACCAAACTTAGTGGTATTATTAATTGTATTTGGCCTCGTTTCTACTTTTATGATACAGATTCAACCTATTAGCATTTAATGTGACAGCTAGCGAGCTAAAACGTTATATTATGATATAATACACATTTGCTAGTGAAGAACCATCACTTAGCGAGCCGGTTCTTTTGGGACAATTGGTTTGTGGTTGAATACACCAGCGGTTGAGAGCCATTGGAAGGGACAATGAACCAAAAGATTGAATTGCTACCCGAATTCGAGTTTTCATTTGGGAAGGGACATTGATCAATTAGGATTCTCCCATTCGTTATAAAATATATGACCAAAGTTACATGAAACTTTCAGATTATAAAAAAAATATATATATTCCATTTAACCGGGATTGATTTGGTTTAGATAATTATGTTTATTTTATGAATTATTTGTATAAGACGAGAAATTTCCAAAATGGTGTCACTATTATATATATATGGATGAAAGAGGAGCTACTAACACCTGCATTTAGCTTAAACAATGTGGAACCGCATATAATCCGATGAAGCAAAAGTTATGTATTAGGTTTGGTACGTAGGGAGGGTGTATTTTATCCACAGTTATTTAACTATAAAACCATATAAACCAATACACATAATTACAAAAAGTAGTGTATATATATGGGCGGCTAGACGCACGCACACGTTTTTCCCTTGGTACAAACATGCACAGCTCATACACATATTCTATATTTCGGTATATATTCTGGGAAAAAAAAAATCAAATCCAACTGAAACTTGTGTGTCGTCTTGGTTTTAATCAAACGTGGAAAGTAAGATTAATTACTTCTAATTAAGATGCCTTAACTACTAACCAACTAACATTTTCCTTTTCAATTATCCTCCTTTTTAACAATATATATATATATATATATATATATATGTGTATATATATATTCGGGGGTGAGACAGTTGCTAATTTAGAAGGGGTACAGAAATTATAATATGCACCACCACAGCCAACCAACTAATTCGGCTATTAAATGCACAACGGAGTTAATATAATGGTCGTTCAAACATTGGAAGATTACAGTTTGTTTAACAAAAAAATAATAATTATTTTCCAAATCATCACGAGAAATAGATATTTACATGCATATAAATTAAATTAACTATTCATCCCCTTTTTATATTAGCATTATTATTTTTGTAACTCACATCCATCACATGAAAAGAGCAACACCAAGACACAAACCTTGGTTTACACATATATACTCATTTGATAATATAGTTATACATACTAATTCCCAAGAAACATATTAACCAAATCGTTTATTATTATCATCATTATTATTATTAGTATTATTAATATTATCAGAAATAAAAAAAAATCAACAATTTATTTTCCCCTTCATTTAAAAAAAAAACATAAGAAAAAACTGATTCCTTTGGGGAGGGGGATTAAATAACATCAATTTTAATTTAATAACAATGTGATGGAAGAGCAGAAGTTGAGAGTTCAGAGCCTAGAGGTGCGGAGCTGCTGCTTGATGAGCGGACGGATGTACTGATGGTAGCCGTCTGGAACGACGGAGTCGTTGAGAGGATCCTTCCATGCTTCCTCTAACAGGTTCGGGTAGACGTTACCGTCGTAACGGCCGAGCACTGAGCCCAGGTAATGGTCCGTGTAGTTGAACGTGTCCACCAGTGCCACCGCGTTCGGACGCACCTTTCAAAAAGCGCGGACACAGCACAGTACATTAGTAAAGCATGATCTCATCATTCTCTGTTTTTTTTTTCAGACACAGGTTGGTCGGGTTATAAAGCATATATATGAACCTGAGAGTACAAGGATCTGAGCTGATCGCTGGCAAGAGAGGCTTGTTTTGAAGTGATGCAAGCTGTGGTGAGGAAATCGCCGAGGTGTTTGTGGAGAAGATGGAGAGCGTAGACGTAACAGAGGTTCTCTAGCTGTTTCTTCACTCCCTTCCCATTAATCTCTTGTTCCAGCTTCGCAATAAACCTGAACCCAACCCCACAAAGTTTCATCGTTGGAATGCGAAATCAAATATCCAAATTTCAGGTTATTAGCAAAGCAGAACAGCTGAGGAAGCTTTACTTGGAAACGACGATCAACTGGCAATGAGCAACTGCTGCCTCGGCCAAATCAGACGAGAGCTCTGCAAATCCTGTAATAAGACAGAAGAACCTGAGAGAGAGAACTCACAAAAAGCTTTCAAGAGAACAGACACATAAAGGCGTGAATCTTCTGTTTAAGGACCCGAGATATATCCGCCCAAGTAATCAAAATTACATGCATTCTCGGTTAACGTTTTATCAGGAGTGGTTTCGATGGGTAATACATATTACATGATAGAAATGGGAGAGAAATGAAGTACCTTGTTCAGGATTCTCAAACTTGCTGAGATTTTTTGCACATGCAACAGCCATTCTCAAAGCTCTTGCCTCAAACGCCTCCATCACCACACCAGGTTTTAACCAATCCTCAGCTGCATGCCCCAAAACCCACGTCATTAATCTCAGAATCAATGGAAAAAAATAACTTTATGAGATGGGAAGCAAGGGAAGACATGGAAATTTACCCCTTTGAACACCAGGGCGACATTGCATTAGGTGTTCTGCCCGAGCCATATAAGCTGTTGTCCCAACAGGAGGCTTTCCTGAGCCCAGCTGGGAAACTGTCTTCATGAGAAATCTTGCCACCTGAAGCCATGAATTTTTAGAATTATGTGAGCGTCCGTTAATGGAAAAGCGGCTCAGAGCCTCTCTCATGGCATTAGTACTACGGACGAGGAGCTAAGATCTGTCTGATCATTTACTGCCTATCTCAGCCTTCCGAATGGTAATTGTTAAACTTTAGAAGCTGATGATAAATATGTGCATCGCACAAGACCCAAAAGCAAAACACGCCAGCAACAATGTAACATTAACAAAATCCAAAAACTCATAATAGCCAAAGTAGAAAATAAACCCACAGATAAAACCGTAACAGACAAAGCAACAAAAGGTCTTGTTTCGCAAGCGAGAACAACTGGCATTCAGTGAATAAACACAACATTACCTGTAGCAACAGCACAACATTGTCTCCTTCGTATGTGCAAGCAGGAACATAGACAGCAAACAGCTCAGGGAGACCACTGCACCACAAGTAGCCATGTCCACCACATAACTTACGGCATTCTTCAATGCCATCCTGCAGCCAACAGTAATGTTCAATTTATTTGCACGTTTATAACCGGTGAAACCACCACCGCCAACATGTTAGCTCAACAACAATGTAAAAAGACTTACAAATTCAAAATGAAATGCAATTATGCAAAGAATTATTAACACTGAAAGAAATAAAATTACATAACGGGCCTGAATGTTCACACAGTTGCGGATGCTTGCTAAATATGTAAATCCTAGATGACAGTGTATGATGCATGGTTGCGGTTCTTGAATGGTATCGCGTTGTTTTGATTGAGGTTGTGGTTGAGGAAACGAGTACCACAACGAAAGATAATGAATAAATCGTGAATCATTGATTCAATTGTGCTCTCGTACAACTAGAAGTTTGGGGTAAAAAGTGCAACTTCAAAATGCATGGCTGTGTATTATACGACATGTCAACTACAAGCAGATAATGGTGAACAAATTGCAACTATTTTCAATCTTGTTTAGTTCGAAAGGTGAAACCGAAATATGAACCTAAAAAGATGCACATATATAGATAGGTGGCTGTGTATATGCACAAAAAAAAATACTCTATCATTAAACCAACAATTTTTTTTCCCAGTGACATCACACGTGCTTAAATGTGGAATGCTTATTCATCTCCAAACATGTAAAATGAATAAGTAAATGAATCTAATAGGTAGGATAGGAATGATGAGTGCCAGTGGATACCGCAGTGGCAGAGGTAGTCAAAGACTTGAGTCCTGCAGTGCATGCATGAGCCTCAGGCAGCGTTGAGAAATCATTGGCCTGCAGTCTTTGAGTGACATCCGTGTACAGCCATTTCAGCCACTCCCCGACAAATCGAAAGGCGTAAGCAGATGCCAGCAAAGGAAATAATCTATTCTGCTGAGTTTTATAATCAATAACCTGTCATAACAACAACAACAATCACATTATGTTCCCTATTGAGAAACTTAGGCAGCAGAGTAATTAACAGCAGCTTCATCCGTACCTGTGCCTCAGGACCACCTTTCTGTGACCCAAATTGCCTCCGGACAGCACTGTACCTTGTAGCTATGCAAACTGCCCGAGACAGCGCACTGGAAGCATCAGCCACAATTGTTTGTCTCACATACACCATAGTACTATACACCAATTGCCTCGGAACATCTGATGGAACATATTTTCCTTCCCTAGTAACTTTTGACAGTCTGAGAGGGTTCAGAGAGAATAATAATTAAAAAAAAAACAGCAATCAGATTTGAAGCACAAGCTGTTTCTTCAAGAGATATCAGGAAATCGTAAAGGCTTATTCATATCAGACCAAAGGGTAAGAAAGAAAACCTCATAAGCATTTGATCTCTTGGAATGCGAACATGATCAAACATAAGAAAACCGTTGTCCATTGAATTATATGCCCCATTCCCAAACTTCGTCCCGATATCCCCAACCGTTATGCCCGGGAGAGGAGAATGGTCATCCAAACTGCGCAGTTGCACGATAAATCCTGAAAAAGAAAGCTTTGGGGGATCACTATCGAGCTAAAAGAGAATGAAAAATAAGTCCAGACAACCATTCTGGTACATTACCATGGATACCATAGTCTTCACCATCGGTTATGAGACGAGCAAAAACAACAGCATGAGTAGAAACTTTTCCCAGTCCACCAGGCCACCACTATTCAAGAAATCAAATACACAGTGCTGATGAGTCCTATAAACATGTGATGTGAGAGACTCCACAAACTCAATCAATCGCTTAAATTTGGTTACTGACTTTGGCTGAAGTCAGAGTTGGACTGTGTATGACAAACTCATCTGTGTGTGGATCAAAAGTGGCAACTGTCTCCAAGCCTTGAACATTTGAGCCATGACCCAACTCAGTTTGCGCATAACACCCAATAATCTGCATCCTATTCGCCAGCGATAACCACTTCTGCTGCTGCTCGTCAGTGCCCTGACCCTTGATTGCAGGCATAAACATTCCCTACAAAACACAAGCAAGAAATATCAACCTCATGAAACAAAATTACGGCCACCGGAGAATACTTCAAAACATGATAGAAGCAACGTATTCCAAAATAACAAAGAAATCCATATTCAAAAATGAGAATTTTGCAGGAATGATTACCCAGTGTAGATCGAGAAAGGAGGGATGATCCACGAAAAACCTCAGCCTTCCCGCCTCGTCCTCTGTAACCAAAACCATGGAAGAGTTCACAATCGATTTAAAAAAAATCGCCATAACAGATGTAAAACCACGAGAAGAAAAAAAAATCCGTTCTTGAGAAGAAAAACATGCCAGAGAGACGGAGCTCGAAGATCCTCTTCCACGCATGAGCAGCTTTTCTCAGTGTGTCCTTAAACAACTCCTTTCTGCCCATCACACCTCTATGGTCCTTGCGAAAGAACTGGCCAAGCAAAACGCAACCACGGAATTCACAAATCGAACACAAGAACATCCATGAATCCGACTCCACACATGAACGTTTCCGGAAACCAAACAGAAAGAGCGAGAGAAAATTAACCGGATCACTAGCGACGAGACGGGATATGCGATCGGAAATCTCAAAAGCGTGGCGAGAACCGGCCCAGACGATCTTCATCTCGTTGACATCGAAGTCGGCCTTGATCCTCTCGTCGGCAAGGTGATCAACTCCATCCATGATTCTCCGAATTGGGTTCAGAGATCAGAGCCCGCGGTGAATTCAAATGTGATTTTTCTATCACGAGAGAGAGGAAAACCAAACAGAAACTCAGAGGAGGTGAAAGAGAGCCGAACCATACAGCGGTCCAAGTGGGGCATTCATTAATTTTCAAAGGATAAGAAGAGTCGTAGTTGTAAGAAAATCAAAGTGTTGAGTTTTTCGAGGTTCATCCACACGTGAAATAATAAAATAAAATAAAAAATAAGACGTATAAATGATCTGCATGGAGCACATAAAGAAGAAATTAAATGTTCATCATTGAATTAATTTTCGACATCGCAACCCAAAACCATTTGCTCTATGTTTCAAGAGAACGATTAACCATTCTCTTCAAGTAATATATATATATATATATATGTATATATAATGTTTATTTTTACCCATCCATCTAGTTAATAATCTCTCTAAATTCTCTCTAAATTCTCCTAATGTACAAAATTATACAAACTGTTTGATGTTTAAGGTTTTTAAAATTCCTCATGGTTGACAAATATGAACATATCAAACACATACAAACACAAGTAGAAAGAAAAATGGTCGGGGGGACCAGACAGACTAGGAGGAGCCGTAGGTAAGCTTGAACCTGAAGGATATGTTGAAGGCAGGCATAGTGAGACCGAGTCAGAGTCCTTTTTCAAGTCCAGTATTACTAGTTAAAAAGAAAGATGGTAGCTGGAGGTTTTGCATCGATTACAGGGCACTGAACAAGGTCACAGTGTTGGACAAATTCCCTATACCAATGATAGACCAATTGTTGGATGAATTACATGGAGCAAGGGTGTTTTCAAAGTTGGATTTGAGATCAGGGTACCATCAGATCAGAATGAAGACAGAGGACATTCCCAAGACAGCATTCAGAACACATGATGGACACTATGAGTTTTTAGTAATGCCTTTTGGCCTTACTAATGCTCCAGCAACATTCCAAGCATTAATGAATGAGATTTTCAGACCTTACCTAAGGAAGTTTGTGTTAGTATTTTTTGATGACATTCTGGTATACAGCTGCTCACTACAGGATCATGCAACACATCTACAGACGGTGCTAGCTGTATTACAGAAACACAAGCTATACGCTAACAAAAAGAAGTGTGAATTTGGAAGACAACAGATAGACTATCTGGGGCATATAATTTCTCAAGAGGGTGTATCTACAGACCCAGCTAAGACAGCAGCAATGCAAAAGTGGCCAACCCCAAGCAATGTGAAGGAATTAAGAGGATTTCTGGGGCTGACAGGATATTACAGACGCTTTGTACAGAACTATGGCACCATAGCCCGTCCCTTGACAGATCTACTAAAGAAAGATGGGTTTAATTGGTCTGAAGATGCTTCGAGTGCATTTAGGAAACTAAAACAGGCTATGACATCTGCTCCAGTTCTGGGACTACCAGATTTTCGTGAAGATTTTGTGGTTGAAACGGATGCCTCGGGATTTGGCATCGGAGCAGTCCTAATGCAGAAGCATAGGCCAATTGCCTTCTTTAGTCAGGCTCTGTCTGAAAGGGAGAGATTGAAACCAGTATATGAGAGGGAATTAATGGCAGTGGTTCTCTCTATCCAACGTTGGAGACACTACCTATTGGGTAGAAGTTTTCTGGTTTGCACAGACCAGAAAGCCTTAAAATTCTTACTGGAACAACGCGAGGTGAGTATGGAATACCAACGTTGGTTGACTAAACTACTGGGATATGATTTTCAGATTGTTTATAGGCCAGGAGTGGAGAATAAGGCAGCTGATGGCCTGTCCAGAATGCCACATGACTATCAGAATGGGAAGAAACCATTTAAGGATTGGGCAGACGTGAGAGAAAGGATAACAAGAAGATTTGGTGGAAGGAAGCTGGGCTCACCTTTCGACAGACTACTGTCATTGAGACAAACAGGTACGGTAGAAGAATACTTGTGTGAGTTTGAAGAATTATTAGCTCAGGTACCTCATACTCCTGAAGAAATGGTAGAAAGTACATTCAAAAATGGATTGAAACCAGAGATATTGGAGATATTACAGATTTTCCGACCTAAAGGCATGGAAGAAATAGTGGATGTGGCACTGAGCATTGAAGGCAGCAAGCTAAGTGCGGTGTGTGGAGGAAAAGGAGGTAGTGATGGAAAGAACTGGAGGACGGGATATACAGGCTCATCATTCAGAACAGTTTCAGTACCTACTGAAAACCAGAAATACCAGAACCAATCATACAGGAGCAATTTTCAAGAAAGAGGAAGACAGATCAATGGAGGAAAAGGACCAAAAGAGGAGGGTGGAGTTCAAGAAAAGAAATCAACATTCAAAAGAATGTCTGATGCTGAATTTGAAGAGAAAAGGAAGAAGGGATTATGTTTCAGGTGTGATGAGAAGTTTTTTGTGGGACACAGATGCAAACAGAAGGAGTTACAAGTGATTTTGGCTGAGGAAATAACAGAAACAGGGGAGGAACTGGAGGAAGAGCAGGATAATGAAGCAGGAAACAGAGAGGACGAGGGAGAGTTTGCTGAGCTATCACTCAACTCAGTAGTGGGGTTAACTTCACCAAAAACACTGAAGATCCGAGGATCAATAGAAGGCCAGGAAGTAGTTGTATTGATTGACAGTGGAGCCACTCATAACTTCATATCCTTGAAGTTAATGAAGAAGCTGAAATTAAGACCTGAAGGTAACACTCAATTTGGAGTATCTTTGGGAACAGGTATGAAGGTAAAAGGAAAAGGGATTTGTAAGGCAGTACATTTACAATTACAGCAGATAGAAGTAGTAGAAGATTTCTTACCACTGGAATTAGGAAGTGCTGATTTGATTCTGGGAGTACAGTGGCTACAGAAGCTGGGAAAAGTTCAGATGGATTTTCAGGATCTGGAGTTGAAGTTCAATCAAGGCACATCATGGGTTACAGTAACAGGTGATCCTACTCTACATAGTTCATTGGTAACCCTGAGATCATTGATCAAATCAGTTTGTGATGGAGATCAGAGCTACTTAGTTAAGCTGGAAACATTAGAAGAGCAAGTGGGGGTTGATTCAAATCTTCCGGAGAAGTTACAGGCAGTGCTGGAAGAGTTTGGGCCAGTGTTTGAAATCCCTACTGAATTACCACCAGAAAGGGGTAGAGAGCATCCAATTAATCTCAAAGAAGGAACAGGTCCTGTAAGTGTCAGACCTTATAGATACCCCCATGCACACAAAGAAGAGATTGAGAAACTAGTGAAGGATATGTTGAAGGCAGGCATAGTGAGACCGAGTCAGAGTCCTTTTTCAAGTCCAGTATTACTAGTTAAAAAGAAAGATGGTAGCTGGAGGTTTTGCATCGATTACAGGGCACTGAACAAGGTCACAGTGTTGGACAAATTCCCTATACCAATGATAGACCAATTGTTGGATGAATTACATGGAGCAAGGGTGTTTTCAAAGTTGGACTTGAGATCAGGGTACCATCAGATCAGAATGAAGACAGAGGACATTCCCAAGACAGCATTCAGAACACATGATGGACACTATGAGTTTTTAGTAATGCCTTTTGGCCTTACTAATGCTCCAGCAACATTCCAAGCATTAATGAATGAGATTTTCAGACCTTACCTAAGGAAGTTTGTGTTAGTATTTTTTGATGACATTCTGGTATACAGCTGCTCACTACAGGATCATGCAACACATCTACAGACGGTGCTAGCTGTATTACAGAAACACAAGCTATACGCTAACAAAAAGAAGTGTGAATTTGGAAGACAACAGATAGACTATCTGGGGCATATAATTTCTCAAGAGGGTGTATCTACAGACCCAGCTAAGACAGCAGCAATGCAAAAGTGGCCAACCCCAAGCAATGTGAAGGAATTAAGAGGATTTCTGGGGCTGACAGGATATTACAGACGCTTTGTACAGAACTATGGCACCATAGCCCGTCCCTTGACAGATCTACTAAAGAAAGATGGGTTTAATTGGTCTGAAGATGCTTCGAGTGCATTTAGGAAACTAAAACAGGCTATGACATCTGCTCCAGTTCTGGGACTACCAGATTTTCGTGAAGATTTTGTGGTTGAAACGGATGCCTCGGGATTTGGCATCGGAGCAGTCCTAATGCAGAAGCATAGGCCAATTGCCTTCTTTAGTCAGGCTCTGTCTGAAAGGGAGAGATTGAAACCAGTATATGAGAGGGAATTAATGGCAGTGGTTCTCTCTATCCAACGTTGGAGACACTACCTATTGGGTAGAAGTTTTCTGGTTTGCACAGACCAGAAAGCCTTAAAATTCTTACTGGAACAACGCGAGGTGAGTATGGAATACCAACGTTGGTTGACTAAACTACTGGGATATGATTTTCAGATTGTTTATAGGCCAGGAGTGGAGAATAAGGCAGCTGATGGCCTGTCCAGAATGCCACACAACACGATTCTGGAACCAACATGTATGGGGTTAGCCATAACTATTCCGAGAAATATACAACTGGTGGAGGTAGAGAAAGAAATTGGGGAAGACAGTGATCTGAAGGAGATAGTCAGCAAGCTGAAGGAAGGGGAAACCAAAGTGGGAAAGTATCATTTGCTACAAGGTATGCTGAGATATAAAAACAGGTTAGTAGTTTCCAAACATTCAAGTTTCATTCCTACAATTCTGGCTGAGTTCCATGACAGTAAGATGGGAGGGCATTCAGGGGTTTTGAGAACATTAAAAAGGATACAGGAGTTGTTTCATTGGGTAGGAATGAAAGCTGATATTAAGAAATATGTAGCTGAATGTGCTGTCTGTCAAAGCCAAAAGTATTCAACTTTGGCTCCAGCAGGTCTCTTGCAACCATTACCGATTCCAGAACACATTTGGGAGGACATTTCAATGGATTTCATTGAGGGCTTACCAAGATCAGCAGGTTATAATGTAGTACTGGTAGTAGTTGACAGATTGAGCAAATATGCTCACTTCATAGCCTTAAAACATCCGTTTACAGCTATGGTGGTTGCTAAGGTTTTTGTACAGGAGGTAGTCAGGCTACATGGGTTTCCAAAATCCATAGTATCAGACAGGGACAAGGTATTCCTCAGCAACTTTTGGTCGGAATTATTTCGGATAGCAGGCACCAAATTAAAGTTTAGTACAGCCTATCATCCACAAACAGATGGACAGACAGAGGTATTAAACAGATGCTTGGAGACATATTTGAGGTGTTATGCTAATGATCATCCCAGGAAATGGATTCAATTTCTGAGTTGGGCAGAGTTTTGGTACAACACTTCGTTCCACACAGCATTACAGTCCACACCATTTCAGATTGTGTATGGAAGAGAACCACCTACATTACTGAAATATGAGGAGGGATCTACTTCTAATTTTGAACTGGAAAAAGCACTAAGGGAAAGGGATAGAATGATATTGGAGATCAAGCAGAAACTTCAAGCAGCTCAACAGAGAATGAAAGTATCAGCTGATAAAGGGAGGCGAGATCTGACATTGACAGTAGGGGAGTGGGTTTATTTGAAAATCAGACCATACAGGCAGAACACTCTGGCAGCAAGGAGTAATCAGAAGCTAGCTGCTCGATATTATGGCCCTTTTCAAATAGAAAGCAGGATGGGAGAGGTAGCATATAAACTAAAGTTACCTAAGGGGTGCAACATTCATCCTGTATTTCATATTTCACAGCTTAAAAAGGCTTTGGGAGGTAACATCCAACCAAACCAATTACCAAGGCAGTTGACAAGAGATCTGGAACTACAAGTTCAGCCGAAAGACATCAAGGATTCCAGGTATACTAAAGAGGGTCGGTTGGAAGTTTTGGTTGAATGGCAGGATTTACCAGAACATGAGAGTACATGGGAAGTGGCTGAAGATTTCAACAAGCAATTTCCTAGCTTTCAGCTTGAGGACAAGCTGAGACAGAAAGGGGGGAGTATTGATAAGTATTTCAGGGTTTACGTCAGAGGCAGGAAGAGAGGAAAAGAAGCAGTAAATGGTGAAGATCAAGAGGAAGGAGCTGAAGAAGTGGCTGAAGAAGGAGCTGGAGGGATAAGAGAGGGGAGCTGAAGCAAGAAGGAACAGCTGAAGAGAAAGGTACGCTGCTATTAGATTTGTTTGTTTGTGTATAAGGATAGTATATGTTGATTGTGTTTGTTGCATAGTTGGTTAGTAGTTGTGAATAAACAGCTGTATTGTCTGTTATGGTTAGGAATATGGTTAGCTGTTAGTAATTCTGTTAGGATGGGATTGTATAAATAGTGTAGAGAAGGGATTGAAGGGTTTTTAGGCAATTTCTAGTACAGAATTGTAAGGGGAAGAGAGTGGGGACCTCTCTCTAATCAAAGTCATCCATCGTGTACCTGTTTTCGGTGATCAATAAAGCTGGGCAGTTCTTCTCCAGCTGAGGAATCCGAGGTCTGGACCATAACATATTTCTTTGGGAATATCCAGCCGATCCAAAGATGTTATCGCCACCGTTACCTGGGCGGACAAGTTTCGCTGCAGCAACTCTTCAAGCATTCCACAAGACAATCGGGATTGGGATCTAAGAACAACACCACCTACCATTCATGTACATCACAAACTACGTTACTATTATTAGACACTTAAAACTAGAGTACATTCAAAACTGTGTACATAATCTTTTTTCAGGCTTAAAAAAGATTGATACAGACCCTTTCTGGACCCATTACTCAAAACTATATCTCACCGAGTATCGTTCCTTTCCCACTGGCATCACTCTATGCAATGTCGACCTACACACCATTACACGAAGAAGAAACTATGCTTTCTTTTAAACCCAACCAAGACAAATTTGAAACTAAAATGAGGGTGGTATATATGAAGATTTTCCCCCTTTTAGACCAAAACTTTACCTGAAAAGTCCATTAGTCCATCTCTCCATCATGTCGCCAATGTTTACTACAAATGCCCTGTAAAGTTCCCCAAGTTGTGATCAAATTCCATTCCACCAAATGAAATCTGATCTAAACATGTTTCAGAGAAAGGGAAAATCGAATAAAAAGAAATACTCTATGCCTGGAGAATTCTCGATGTAAACAAGTTCTACTATTTTTTTTTTTGTCACTCAATACTGACATGCAAACTTATTCAAAAAAATTCCACCAGTTACCATCTCAATTAACTTTCTATTCCCTCTTGCTGCTTTTCATTTTCAGCAGTTTTTCTTCAAACTACTTGAACCTTTAACATTTAGGTTTTCAAACGAGGTCAAGACTAGCGTTTGCTAGTGTGTTGAAACTAGTATTTACAGGTATATACAGAAGACAGTTTCATCAGACATCACTTATGCTATAGCTGGACTTACCCGTTAATTCCAGGGACATCCTCCCATACGCGAGGTCGTTTCGACTTATCCCTACAAACCTGTATTGCGCACACACTTTAACAATAACAGATTAAGGAGAGATCAAAAAAAGAATCATCATTACGATAAGAAGAATTACGAGAATTTACAATACTTTCCTGAAGTCCAGGAACTCCATCGGTGGCAAGAAGAGTTATCATCCCATAATCCGAGTGAGCAGACGCACCATACGTTTCCTCATTCGCCAAATTCAGTTCTCCTAAAATCACAAGATGCCCAGAGGTAAATATTTCCACCAAATGCATTAAACATGTTTAGACATCTTATTTGTTGTACTTACATATGTATATGTAAAAAAACTTATGCAATGTATTTGCAGCTATAACATATCCCTTATACCATCTACTTTTCCCATGCAATGGACACCAGTTTTCATTCATAGCTTTTACCTCCACAACAACAATGGGGGGTCTACCATATTACAGCACTGATTCTTTGAAGGACGAGATTCACATATCTAAACAATTTTGAGTCAACTAAGATTAGTTCCAAACCTACAGGAATTTGGTGATATACCGGGATAATGTAAAAGGCGAACAACTGCTGCTGGTTCATTCAAGGCTCCGACTTGTTTGAAGAAGTTTTCATCCAAATTCAATGCCAAAGCAATTAAGCAAAGCAATTTCCTACCAACAGACCTAAAACAGCAGCAGCATGTTAAACGGGACAGTAAATTGATAAAGAGTAACAATCTAAGAGTCAAGAGAAGAGAGAAATCAATCAAGAAAAACAGACTACATTTATAGCGAAAAAAAAAAGGTATTTCCAGAACAAGCAGGCAGTCTCTTGGCAAGTTGGCATTGGTGTAATTGGTTGAGGTAGATGATATCGACCATAATCACCAGAGTCAAACCTCAACCAACATATGATCTTGAACCCCGTTTTCAACAATGGGCGTAAGTATGCACATGCTCTGAAAACTACTTTGGGTGCTAGAGCCATACCTAGTACATATTAGAGATTAAAAGTTCCATCAATGATATGAAAAAAATGAAAAAGGAAAAAGGCATGGTACTTACAGGACATTCTTGTAGTAACATTCCATGGTTTGCCTCCACAATGGCAAGAGATCTGGACATCTAAAACCCATAAGAGAAGGCCCTGGTATTGCAATAAAGGACTTAAAAACTCTACCTTCAGAAGGCCATTGATTTGGGTGGCGTTGAGCTAACGTGCCTTCTAAAGAACCAAAATAGAAGCTTTCCTTGGAATCGCCTGGCACAGAGATAATATTATTAAACACTGTAAAAACAAACCACAAGCCATAATGAGATACAAAAAAAACAAAGGAAAAGAACCTTTGGAACTCGAAGATGGGTCGAGTTTCTCAGCATACAACGGTGTATAGCCTAAAAGGTCACGGCGAAGCAGCAAAATCTTCTCTTCCAAAGGGAGACAGAAGAATTTATTGCTCTCACTGAAAACCATTTCCATCAACTCTTCATCAATGCCATGATTCTTGACATAGAAGAAACCGTGCTCCAGACAGGCCTAACAGAAATAACATCAAGCGACAAAAACTCGGTCCTGAGCAAACACCACATCGTAGCTCAATCTCAAATTAGTATCTGACGAAGCACATCACATAGAGGAAAAAAAAACAAAGCAAAAATCATTTTAGCAAAACTTCTAGGGCTCTAACTATTTCATGATCCTCACCTTCATAAGCCCACCGCTATTATACGTCAATACATGTGTTCTTCGAATCCAAACATATACGTACACATGTACTCACATGACGGAACAACAAAAATCGACCTCTTACACTGATAAATCCTTCGAAGAAGAAAGAGAAGAAGGAGAACCTGGCGAATAGATTGGGAGTTGGAGATTTTGTCCGGCGAAGAGAGATCGATGATCGGAAGCCGTAACGCCGTCGCCATTAAAATTGACCGCTCCGACCCTTCAATTAGCCGTTTGTGGAATTATAGATGGATGGATACATCATTGTTTATATTGGGCTCATAAGTAAATGGGCTTCAGTCCTTGAGCCCAAAATTTTTTTTTTTGTGAATTGGTTTTAAATGTCCATTAGTATTACCATAATGGATAACATATTTCAAGAAAACTCTTTAGATATGCATTTATCAAATCCGTGAAATCTTAATTTCAACAATACATAAATCTTTATTCATTTAAAAAAATTATAAAACTATATAAATCAATTACTTGGTAATAAAATCACTTAGTCAAATGAAAACGTTCTTCCAAATTCCAATCACAAATAGGAAACACATGATAAGCACGTCGGTTTTCCCCTATATCCGAATAACACGTGTCAATCATATATAGACTTCCTCCAAAATGCATTCCACGGAGACGCTGTGACTGTATCAAAACCCTCCAGAAAAGTTTGTTAGAAGAAAAAAAAAAACATAAGGTGGAGTGGAATTCAGGCAAATCGAAATTCTTCTTCCACAATTTCAGAAGCTGATACACGCTCTAGGGTTTTCTTCCGATTTATTTCTCTCCCATTGAAGGTTGAATCCATCGGTTCTCGGTGACTGTTCTCCGTCTCGCCGTCGCTGCCTGGTCGGGTCTTTTTCCGGCGAGATATGGTGGTGATCTCCCTGAAAGTTTTGAATCCCGCTATTCTCCGGTTGTTGCCCCTTGATTTTGCTGCAATTTCGATTTCCTGTAGATTTTCTTGGCTTTGTCTGCGGTTCATGTAAGATTGTTAGGGCTTTATGACCCGGTTCCGTCGATTATTATCGTGAATAATCCTGTCTGTGTATGTGCGCTTGTATAGAAAGCTGGTGAATAGGGTTTGGATTGGGAAGTAGGTTGTTGGTGTGGTTGAACAGTAGATACTCTGTTGAGGATATGTATATCGAAGAACTGAAAGAAAGAGAAGAGGAGAAGGGGAAGAGGTCGGTTAGCGAGGTTAAAAATGACAATAGGGTTGTAGAGGGAGATAAGGCGGTTTTGTTGAGAGGAGGAAGCGTGATCGTTCTGTCGACGAAGAGGGTGTTGGTTGGTGTAGGAGCTCGTGCACTGTTCTATCCAACTCTGATTTACAATGTGTTTAGGAATAAGCTCGAGTCTGAGTTCCGGTGGTGGGACAGGGTTGCCGAGGTAAAATTCCCTACCCTTCTTTTCTGTTTTTCTTTTTGTTTAGTTTTTTAGCCAAACTGTGTTGATCTGAATGGCAAATGTTACAATTCTCTGGTTGTTAGATTGCGATGCTTCCTAAACAGCCGAATATAATGCTAATATGAAGTGTTACTTTTCCAGTTTTAATGAATTGTTAAATTGCCGCTTTCGTTAGAGTTTACCTTCGAATTTGCGGTTTCACCTTTGAGTTAAGCTGCATTTAGTTTGTGTGTTTGAGTCTCATATTCCTGTATATGTTTATATTCCTCCAAAAGTATAGTATTGTGCTTTAGGTCTGTCTCTTTTGCTGACACCGTTTTTTCATTTTCCAGTTTATATTGTTGGGAGCGGTTCCGTTCCCCTCTGATGTGCCACGGCTTAAGGAGCTCGGTGTTTGTGGGGTGGTCACGCTGAATGAACCATATGAAACTTTGGTTCCAACGTCTCTGTACAAAGTCCGTTATTCAGTTTTGAAGCTGACCATTTCAATTATACCCTGTCTTTTGGCTCCCTTCACCCGCTAATATATTAACTCGTTTTAGTTTCACTACTCTGATGACAGTCTCACTCCATTGACCACTTGGTGATTCCCACAAGAGACTATTGCTTTGCTCCTTCCATGGAGGCCATATGCAAAGCTGTAGATTTCATTCACAGTACGTGTACTTCCACATTTGATTTGTTTGCTCTTTCATTCCATGTTTCAAGATATGAGATGTTCCTCTGAAATAGTTTTTGTGTGTGATTATGTCATGCACATTTCATTCACTGTAAGTGTATTTCTTCATTTGATATGTTTGTTCCCTAATCCCATGTTTTGAGATATGAGGTGTTTCTCTGAAATAGTTTTTTGTTCATATATATGATTGCGTGCAGTAAGTTATCGTGTAAAGTGGTTTTGTTCATTGCTGTTTTTTTGTTCAAGTATATCAAAGTTGTTGGAAGCCATTTTTATTATGCCCTGAGCATTATTTTGTCTAATTTGAAGGAAATGCTTTGGCTGGAAAAACGACTTATGTTCACTGCAAGGCAGGTCGGGGCCGCAGCACGACTATTGTCATGTGTTACCTGGTTGGTATCGCAATTCACCCAAAGATAAACTTGATTAAAGATACCATTTTCTGATCCATGATCCATCTATTCGGAAAACACTACAGGTACAGCACAAGCACATGACACCTGAAGCTGCATATGCGTATGTGAGATCCATCAGGCCAAGAGTCCTTCTAGCAGCCTCCCAATGGAAGGTATCTGTCTGGCTCTTTGTTTCTTCATGATGAATCCTGGAGATCTGTATTTTATATATTCTTGTCATTGTTTTTTGATGGGTGGTTGTCTGCAGGCTGTTGTTGAGTACTGCAGTCTCAGGGTGCCAAAATCTCAGAAACCCTCTAAGGGTTCAGACACCGGTTTGATATCGAGAAGCGTGAAAGAGGTTCCTCGGGATGTAATGGTGTTTGATGATGATGGGTCGGTGGTGGTGGTGACTGAGTCTGATCTAGAGGGTTTTGATCCAACGGTTTCTATGTTGGGGAATGAGATATGGGCTGCTGCTGCTGTGGGGGATATGAGCCTTTTCTATCGTATGAAAGTTGCTGGGCAGATGACGCTGGCTAGGATTTCATGCTCGTGGATGCGTCACCGCACAGATCAGAAAATTACTGTGGAGAATAGGGGAGATTCCTTTGGAGGCATAAGCGTCGACATTTCCGTCTACTGATGAATGATGATGATGATGATGTTGATGGTGAAACAGAGACAAGACAGTGAGACTTGGCGATGGGTTTCATTTCCATGTAATTTCTACTGGCCGTAATTTGTCTATTTCACCGCTTCATATACTTTGCACGGCCCTCTTCTATTCAAGGACAAGATAATAGAAAGCTAGCCCACCCAATGTCTCAGTATAATTGGTCTTCATAAACTTCAGACTTTATTTTAGGCCCAACATGTATTTCCATGTATCCTCCATTAGATAAATCCAATCTGGGTTGGACACCACAACATTTAAATTTTTTTTTATTTTTCCGCTTTCGAAATAATTAATCTAATAGCAGACACAAAGCTATACAAACATGCACACACTGGAACGTTTGTTGTTTCTCTTTTATCTTTAAACCAATTGTGCCAAGGATTCACAATTATAAACAGAGCTTTCAGTATACAACTGAGAAATGCAAAACTAAAGGTGGGCTATAAAATAGAAGACTGCAAATGGCTCATGTTAAGAGCATAATGTCAGAGGACAACGTCAACGTGCATACAGTATTACGATAAGCCAGCCACAAGAGATTTCTGACCGTTCGATTGTTTGATCTCAGTTGCATCATCGTACGGCTGAAACGGAACTTTCTTGTTATGTTACCATACACCCGAGGGCATTGGATCATCAGCGAATGAACGAAGGTTTAAAAAGATTAGGGTGTTAAATGGATAGAGTTTTTATTCTGAGTTTTTGGATTTAGTTTTTGGTTTTTAGATTTTAGTTTTTGGTTTTTGGCTTTTGGTTTTTATAGATTTGTAAATCCAAAAAAATATAGCTTTTAGTTTTTAGTTCAATTTTTTTCATAAAGCGGTTTTTCTGGTTTTTAGGAAAACTAAATTTAAAAAACTTGATTGACAATTTTTTGAGTTTTTAAAATCTAAAAACTCCCAAAACCCTTGTCATTCAACACCTAGGTTTAGCATATTGATCTCCGCGGCCGCTTTTGACTAGTGGGCTTTTCGATTCGGTTTTTCAGAACCGAACCAAAACGAACCGAAAAATATGATATTTTTTCTGATCCGAACCATTTTAATTTCCTAAAAGGTATGATTTTTAGAAAATCGAACCAAACTAAATTTAAAAAAAAATTTCGAAATTTTTTTTTAAAAGAAATCTATCATTTTTTAATAAAAACCGGAACCGACCCGAAACCGAAGAGTAACCGAACGTAATATAAAAACTGATAGATACCTATTTTTGTAAAATTGAAAAAACCAAACCGATATATTCCTATTCCGAATCCAAACACGAAACGCCCACCCCTACTTTTAGCTAGAGTTTTTATTTCCAAGTCTCTTAAATTATCTCTCTATCTCTTCGTATTTGTCAAATTTTCATTCCTTCCTTCCTTCTCTCATCTGTCTATTTTTGAAAAAATTTTATATTCCCCTACGAATTTTCCTTAAAGTTCTAATTTTCTACATCGATTTTAAATTTGACAAAAAATTACATCGGATTATAAATATTTCCAAAATCTCACACAAAATATTAAAATTTATTGCAAGTTCTCTCATATTCGTAAATGACATTAAGTTCCGTCAGTTTTAATGTTGACGTGACATTATCATTGTGATATCCCGATTATGATGAGGATTGAGAGTGTTCGTCGGTACGATGGCACGATCAAGAAGCGGCTTTCCGAGTACCACTAAGGTCAAAAGGATACAGGAATGAATCGAACGCACTGGAATGAGAGAGATCTGAGGGCTAAATAGATAAAAAAAACTATATGGTTTGAGATAACATAAAAGAATTGGTTGGGTTACTCATAGCAACAAAATGCTCCTATCTTTTCGGTTGACTTTTTAGAGAGAATTCCAAAGTTATGCATGCGAGTGAGGATAAAACACGCTGTAAGGTCTCATGTTGTTGTGTGAGGGCGGTTTCGATATTTCGTAGCGGTTGCAGCTCGTTATAATCATATTCCGCCAAATCATCACACCACGTACAGAAAAAAAATTAAAAATTAAAAATTTAAAAAAATTAAAAAAATTAAAAATTTAAAAATTTATATATTCACATGCATATATACATACATATATACACATAAATATATATATGTATATATACATATATATATTTAATAATTATATATATGTGAATATGTATATATATATGTATGAATGTATGTGTGTATATATATATATATATATTTATGTGTATATATGTATATATATGCATGTGAATATGCATGTATATATATGTAGATATACATATGTATGTATATATATAATTGTGTATATCTATATATAATTGTGTATATATGCATATATATATATATATTTTTTTTTAAAAAAAATTATTTTTTATTTTTTAAAATGTTTAAAATTTTGAAATTTGTTATATTTTAGAAATTTTAAATTCTATAAATTTTTAAAATTTTATTTAATTTTATATTTTTATATTTTTTATATTTTTTATTTTCTGATGTGACATAATAATTTGACAGAATATGATGATTTGGAGGAAAAAGTATGACATGACATACCACGTCGATATTAAAATTGACGGAACATAACGTCGTTTATGAATATAGAGAAAATTGCAACACATTTTAATATTTTGTATGAGATTTTGGAAATGTTTAAAATTCGTTGTAATTTTTTGTTAAATTAAAAATTAGTATAGAAAATCGGCACATTAACAAAAATTCGTGGGAGAATACGAAATTTTTCCTTCTTTTTATAAAAAAATGAATTTATAGTTTAAAACATCTTAATAGAAAAAGATGATAAATACTATTAATTTTTTGTCCAAAATTATAAACTCAATTCTATTTATCATAATACAAGTTTAATATTTAAACACTATTAATAACTTTTTATTTAGAGAACGATGTGGTTACTGGGAAAGCGATTTTAACCGCCAAATCCTAACATGACCTTTGTCTCATGCTCCCCAGCCAGACATCCTCTGACCCATCTGAACTTCTTCAATCACCATAACCTACAAAAATAAAATCTATCGCTCCAGCAAACCATGGTCCGACCCCGACCACACGACCAAGTAATCTTGAACGGTCTGGAGTCTAGTACGGACCCGACCAGACCAATTTTCTATCAGACCTAATCAAACTAAACCAAAATAAAGGACGGTTTGACCCGCACTAATCCTCAAACTCCAAATAAGTCCTAAACCCCAGACGAGACGAATTAGTAATCCGGGTGGATCAAAACCTAATTTAATCGTAAAGGATGTTATAATGAATTGCAAGGAAATATTTAAAAGATATCGAGCGTGTATGATTATATAGATAAATATATAACAGATGTATAGGGGTATGTACATTCGATAGAATTCCCTAGACAAAGACTTATAATCATTAATAAACTGAAAAATGTGTGTATGTATGCATGATGAATGAAGTGCATTATTGTATGTGATTAAGGGTATGAATTAGGGTAGCTGGCAAGGCGTTAAGTAATATATCGGATGTGTTTGGATATTGTATAGAGTGTGATTGTAAACGGGTAAACGTGTGTGTATGATATATTCTGATGAATGTGATGAGTGAAAACCCAGTCGTATGGCAGTTGATCCAGATCGAATGTCATACGAGTGAGATATGATTGTGATTGAGGTTATCTCAATATCGTGCCAATGCCCTGGCAGACGGTTAAGGCACCCCCAAAGATCTACGTAGTCAATATCGATTGACGAAGGAGTCAGTATTGATGTGTGGGGAGGAATATGGTTCCTTGATAACCGCACCAATGTTCCATTAGCCTTAAAATGGAATCTAGGATTGAGCAATTCTTTCGATGACCGGCAAAAAAAATTGAGACCCGGGTTTTTGCATATGTCTTCCGACGAGGTGGTACGGATTTGCTCTAAAATACTTGAGCTCGAGTGTAACAAATATTTCCGAAGAAGATGGTCGGCGAGGAAAAGTTCCTGTGATTAACTTCGTGCAACAAGTTGATGGCATCGAGAGTCAATGTTTAGAGCCTAGTATGGAGAGGAAACATCGTGATCGGAGTGTGAATATGTGTGTATTGTGTGTTTTGAGAAATGCTGGTGTGTTATTATTCCGATTTTGGGCGAGGAGATAGGTGGTAGTGCAATATACAGGGTGCGTCCTGACCTACATGTGCGATACACATAGAAATGAATTGACAGATGTGATTGAAAGACCGGGATGGTCGAGTTATGCCTTATGAGTGACGATCTTGGTTTGTTGATTTGCCTGAATTGTCCTATGCGTGCGATGCACGCAGAAAGAATTAACGGCTATTGTTCAAGGATTCTTTTTTAGACTTGTTATGATTGCTTTAATGAACGATTGAGTGATTATTATATATATATATATATATATA